AAAAAATGCAAAAAATATAACGCGAGAAAAAATCCATTTCAAGTATTCCACGTATCGAGAGCTAAATTCTGTCTCTTCTCTATTTGTGATCGGACTAAATCTTAGAAGATAATAATTTTAACAACAACAACAGGAACAATAAATTAACGCAATGCAACGGTCGAACATGATTAAGAACTAACAGATAATACTTAGACAAATCTTTATTTAAACATTTATCAGAAGTAATGATATAAAACGGATGAAAAAAACAAGCGCAAATTAAACATAAATAACATTCTAAGAAATTAAATCAAGAATAAAACATTATAAAAAAAAGTGTGAAAAAATATAATAATGAGAGAAAATTGGATTCTCTTAGATACTTCGAAGTCGTTTCGTTTGTTATCTACGCTCATTTTTGTGTAGTGTCTCACTTGTATATTGTCATTATTATAAATTTAGTCGTTGAATGAATTCGTATGAAACAGTTTTTTGATACAGCTAATACAATATGAATTGCAAATATAAGCCGTGCCGAAGATGATGCGTATGTGTATATCCGAAATAAATGAACGAGAAATGATGTTCGTTCAAATGTTGATCTTTTTCCGCTGAAAAGACCGTCTAAAGAGCGTGGAAGATTCTCTAATTCGATGAAAAAAATTAATAAGTAAAATAATCAATATTAGGTCTCATACTGAAATCTCTCTTTCAGAAAAGTGTTTTCCACATCCTGAGAAAAAATAGATGTACAAGCGTTATATCGATTTAGATAACGGTTAGTTAAATAATATACAATATTTCAACAGTTATTAGTGACGAGTATTAATCTTCTATGAGAGATTAAAACTCCCTTTGGAATTGTAGAACTTTATTCCATGAAAACACTTTATGGAAAGATAGAATAAAGAAAGAAAAGAGAAAGAATGCGCATATGTACGAGTGGGTCTGTATATATCGATGCATATATGAGATGATATAATGAATAAAAATCAAAGGGGAAAGAAAATAGTTTGAAAGGAAAAGAGTTAAAAACATTGGATAGTACATGGAATAGAAGACCTAAAGAACATATTTCGATGGTGTTATTAGCTAGGCGCCAATTATTGTCATTCCTTCTCTTACATCGATACTCTAAAATTGTATAAACAGAACGTAGCGCATAAAAAAAAGAAATCGATTATATATACTCATAAAACTTTTAATATAACAAATTATCGCATTGATTAAGCATGTCAAATCGTCAGCTACGTTTGTCATTCAGTAATCTTGCGCTTTGTTTTTTCTATGAATCGGAGCATAACAATCTATTTCTTGTTAGCCCAATTGAAATATCAGAAAAAACTGCTACAAAAGAAAAAAAAATCAACAAAAAACAATGTTATTATAAACGATTAATTAATAAAAAACGAATCTTGTTTGTTGTTACTTTTTGTTTTTTTCATCTCATCCATTCCATTAGAATAATAAAAATATTTGCACATATCGTAAATTAAAACATATTTAATTAAAATATAAAATAAAAAATTATCAAATTACAAAATAAGTTCACATTTATGAGATGAGAGAAGTATTTTATTTAATGTGAACTATGATAGCAGAATGAATATACATGTATATAATTTAATTAAGCAATATATACTTAGATTATCATAGAAGAGTATCATAGACTAAAACAATATAAAGAAAATAGTTATGATTTATGTATCCTCCTCCCAGACAGTTTCAGTCAAGATTGCAATGTTGTCTAATCCTCTCATCGGCGCATATTCCAAAGTCCACATTAAATTAGTAAAAACAACTAAAATCAATATAATGAATAAAAATCAATGACCAATTCTTCTACTAATAATGTATTTAAATTATTTAATAAATAATTTATTTAATAATAGATTATTTATTAAATATTTATCTATACAATTAATTTTTCAACTTACGCATCTCGCCTTGATGCAAATCTGCTACTAATTCAGGACAAGAACTATTACAAGGATTTATAGGAGTCAAACGAAGTTGTGTAGCTCCTCGTAATTGAGCTAAAGCTATAAGACCTGAATCTAATTCAACCTTTTTATAACTTGGACTATTATAATCCGAAGACATAAGAACCCAATTAAAATGCGCTGGTGAGACAGTACTTGAAAGGAAATATGGACGTTGGTAATACTTTCTCAATACTTTCACTGCATTGATATCGCAATTTTGCCAATGGACGAACCATTTAGCTACTTCAGGTGAATGTACCCGACGCAAAAATGCTGCCAAATCAGACGAACCAGTTCTCAAATTTGAAGTCAAAGCACATGGTACTGTTTCCATTAAGCGTTCATTTTCTAAATAAAGCTGTTAACATAAATAAAATATATATAAACAAAATATATAAATACATGAAAATTTTTTGAATATATATATAAACAAAATATATAAATACATGAAAATTTTTTGAAATTATACATGATTTTTTTTTTGAATTGTGCATTTATTTTATCAAAGGAAATAAGATACATAATAAATACAATTGTAATAATAATTATACTTACATGAGTAATATTATCAAACCAAAAATAATCTGTATTCATAACTGCCCAAGAATCCATTGCATCTGTAATAATTGCAGGTGCATCTCTGCTCAGATAATTATCAACAAGATTTCGATATCTTACATCTGATAAACGGTCAATAGTTTCCAAAGCTTCACAAGTCTATAAATATAATTTCTGATTATTTTAGTAATTTATTTTTAAAAATACTTTCGATTAATATTAATAATCATACCACACAATCTTCTTCAGTTATCATATAATCATTATAAAAAGGATTATTAATCATACAATTTTCATAGTATAAAGGTTGCCAATTCCAAATTGGTAGAACTTTGATAAGTAAAAGACGACTAATTGCAGTAAAATGAGTTCCAACAAAATCAAGTTGAGCTGCTAGACATGCTAAAGTACCAAGAACAATTAATACAAGTGTTCCCCTGATAACAAGTTGTAACCAAGAGCGCCGCATTGCAGCTACTAATGGTTGACAAATAATATCCATTTCTTCTTCTGTAAAGCCAGCTTGTTGACAATATCTATTAATTAATTACATAAAATACAATCATTAAATAAAAATTAAATATCATATATATCATATATATTATATATCATAAAAATCATATATTAAAATAATTAATATAATAATATCATATTAAAAATATTTTTCATATATAACACATACAAAAAATGATTTTATAATATTAAAAAAAATAATAAAAGAATTTTAAATAATGAATACGTACCAATAATAAAGAATGTAATATTGTACATATCAAATAATTTTCTTTAAAAAAAAATTAGCACAATATTAAAGAAAATTAAAATTATATACATTTAAAAAAATATAACAAGATAAAAAATTTTCTAAAATTTTACTTGTAAAACGCATTCAATTCATCATCTATCAATCGTAGCTTTTCCGAATGTGACATTTCTTGTTGATCTTTTACATAATTTTTACGCAATTGTTTAATACATTTACTATTCGACATCTTTACTTTTAATTCAATATAAATTTCTTTATATTATTTGTTATATTTTTCTCTCTGAAATTGGAGAAATGAACTAGTTATATCGAACAGAAATACAGTCTGTACATGCGCACATTTTCATATTATCCATGCGAACATATTGATTGTTTATTATCATTATTGAAAATATCGCGGGAAAATATGGCTAAGTTTTAATTGTTTCATATAATTATATACAAAAAATACATTTTTCATAGATAAAAAACATGAAATATTATTAATTATTTAAAATAAAAATTAAATATTAAAAATATAATAAATAAGTATATTAGTAATTTGTTACAAAAAAATCTTAAAAATTGTACTTAAAATGAAAAGAAAAAACTAATTTAAAAATCTATATCTTTTTTTTTATAATATATCTTTTTTTTTATTAATCAAATTGCTTTATAAATTTACTACTTTATAAATGTTTTAAATAAATTAAAACATTTCAAGTAATATAATTAAAATATAATTATATTTATTCATATATACATAAAAAAAATTTTAAATTTACTATTAATAAAAAATTAATAGTACTATTATTTTAGTTCTTATAAATTCTATTTGAAAAAATATATATATATTTTATATATATAATTTATATATATATAGCCGTCGATATATAAATATATGTACATATATATACATTATATATATCTAAAGCTATTGATACAACAATAATATTGTTGTAATCTTGTGCTATATTATTCAAAATATTGAAATATCAGTTTTAATAATTTATTATTTACATAAAGAAATTTATCAATAACAATGTACAAAATAAGGTTATTTGGTAAGTATTTATTTAAAATATACTATTATATGAATATATATTATATAAAAATTTCACAATTTTTATTTTCTAAATCAGTTGCACAAAATAAAACTACAATTTATAATAATATTATTCGAAATATTGTTAGTCTTTCCATGTTACCAGAGACTCATCAGATGTTACATAAAACATGCAGGTACTTATTATTATATATTTATAATATTTTTATTTTTTATTTTTTTTTCAATATAAATCATAATACAATACAATGTATATCATATAATAAATATTATATTATAGAGACTTTGCAGAAGAAGAATTAAAGCCTTTAGCAACAGAAATTGACAAAAAACATCTTTATCCAGAAAAACAAGTTAAAAAGATGGGAGAATTGGGTTTAATGAGTATAGCAATTCCTGAAAATTTAGGTGGAACTGGACTAGATTATTTAGCTTATGCTATTGCATTAGAAGAAATATCTAGAGGTTGTGCCAGTACAGGTCTCATAATGAGTGTACATAATTCTCTTTATTTAGGACCTATACAAAAATTTGGCAATAAAGATCAGATAAAAAAATATATTACCCCCTTTACAACTGGTATTAAGATTGGATGTTTTGCCCTTAGTGAACCAGGCAATGGTAGTGATGCAGGTGCTGCTTCTACTATTGCTAAATTAAATGGATCTAATTATTTAATTAACGGTACTAAATCATGGATAACAAATGCTTATGAGTCAGATGCAATTATTCTATTTGCTACAACGGACAAATCTAAAAAGCATAAAGGTATAAGTGCATTTATAGTTGATAAAACTACAGAAGGTCTTTTTGTTGGTAAAAAAGAGGATAAGTTAGGTATTTGTGGTAGCAGTACCTGTTCATTAATATTTGAAGATTGTAAATTACCAAAAGAAAATTTATTAGGAGAATCAGGAATGGGTTTTAAAATTGCAATGACGACTTTGGGTATGAAATGAATCCATGGTATCTATATAAATGTAATATCTGAAAAAATAATAATCACAATATATAACTTCTAGATGCTGGTAGAATTGGCATTGCTGCTCAAGCTTTAGGTATAGCTCAAGCATCTCTCGACTGTGCAATCGAATATGCGGCAAAACGACAAGCATTTGGTAGTTCTATTATTAAATTACAAACAATTCAACAAAAAATTGCTGACATGTCATTGAAATTAGAAAGTTCAAGATTATTAACATGGCGAGCAGCTGCACTTAAAGATAATAATAAATCATATACAAAGGTGCGACGATAAAAATAATTAAATTCAAACATAATTTAATAATTTTTTTTTGTTAGGAAGCTGCTATGGCAAAATTATCATCATCTGAAACATCTACTTTCTGTGCGCATCAATGCATGCAAATTTTAGGTGGTATGGGTTACGTTAGTGATATGCCAGCAGAACGTTATTATAGAGATGCACGCATTACTGAAATTTATGAAGGTACATCAGAGATACAAAGATTAGTTATAGCTGCAAATGTTATCAAAGAATACAATCTTAATTGAAATATTTAGATGCGACATATATTTTTCTACTAAAGTTCTTCATATGCAAACAAAATATTTTTTATATATTTTATTAATTTTATATATTTATATTTTTATCCTTTACGAAGAAAGGCTAATAAATTTTATATATCATTATAATTATGTAGTTTTTTTTATGATTTAATGTCATAAAATAAATGTAAATATATATGTAAATATGCAAAACTTACATATTTAAATATGCAAAAACATATACCAATATCTCATTAATTCTATAGCAATATTATACGAATTTTTATTTATAATTTCTTTATACTCGCTCATTATGGAATGATGACAAATAGATTATTTGTTAAAATAATGAATAGGAATGATAGACACTATCTATAGTGAGATTTTATTTTAAAATCTCTATTAATTATATAAGTAATTTGATAAAATCGCATATCATACTTAAATACTAAAATTCACAACTGAATAGCATAAATTCTGATACTCCCTGTATTAAGATCCCAAAAAATTACAGTTTTATCTAAATTGTATTTCTATAACTATCTTAAATTCTACACTATAGATCCCAGTACAACAGATAACAGTATACATATAATTTGTGCAAACGACAATTACGATTTTTTTCAACTATATTTTTATCGAATTCTTTCTTTGTTTTATATAAGCGAAGATATTAAATATGACATTTAAATTTGTTGGATAGAGATCTATTGGAATGTAAAGAAATATGTAAGTGAATATAATATTTCAATTTGAATTTCACTGTATGCTTCTTTTCTTATATACAATAGTGCATTTGCCGTTGTAATTTTTACATTAAAATAGTTTTTTTCTTTTTTCATATGTAT